TACTACTACTGATCATGTCATGTCATGACACATCACTCCCTCTCACTGCTATTTCGGACTCTTTTCCGAATTCCACGCTGTGATTCTCTACAGCAAGTGTTGACGTCAAGGTCAAGGTTGGTCATGTGTGCGGCGGCATTTATGTGGTACTAAACTCAAATACACTATCTATGTTGTGGAAGCCCTATCTCGTTTGGACTACTTCAGTAGGAGGTCATGTTGCCGTATCTCGTTCAGACTGCTTTAGTGTCATCAAGCAAAAGTATATCGTTTATGTGGGGGGCCCTATCTCGTTCACAAGCGAATACTGATGATAGACAAGCAAATAGAGCATGCCATAGACAACTTTAGTAAAGCCTAAATAAAAGTGGTTGGGTTACACACACATATATATATATATCGTGTTGCTTCCTTTCGATCCATGATGGCTTACCTAGGAGAAAATCGTGTTGCTAAGGAACTTGGACGAACCATCCCTGAACTAGTAGCGTCCTTGCTCCCAGTAGTAAGGCCAGGAGCCCCTAGTAGCGTCCTTGCTCCTAGTAGCGATGCTTGTGGCCAAGAAACTGTGACAACATCGAAGTGCCCCTGGATGGACCAGTGCCGGTCAGCTTGTTGACAAGAGGAGCCAGGGACTCCTCAAATGCCAACAAGGTGCAGTGTTGCAAGAAGGTACTAGTGGCTAAATGCTACTAGTAGTAATGGCTTCCAACCTAATAGCGATGGCCTCCAACCTATAGAGTAGCTTCTTGCTACTAGTAGTATTGCCAGGAGCTACTAGTAGCTTCTTGCTACTTGAAAACCAAAACCAAGAAGGTCCGGTCGAAAGAAAGAAAAAAAAACAAAAACGAGATGCTGTACAGGAAGTCTTATAAAGAATTTGTCTTCTACCAAGGGCCGATAAAAGAATTGAAATCAGCGTTTGCTCTCTCTCTCTCTCTCTCTCACCGCAGCCCACGGCGCATATGTCAAGGGAGTGGGCAGGGGCAATGTCTGCAAAGTTTTGATCCAGCGAAGTGCCTCCTGGACATCTTCTACAAAAATGTTGTGTTTGGCAAGCTGCACAATGTCAGGCACAAAGGTGTCATATTTCTGGATGAAGGCCTGGGGTCACAGGCAAATGTGCACAATTCACCGCGTGTATCCGCCTCTTTTTTGATAGTACTTTCGGAAGGTCAAAGCATGATGAAAATGTTCAAGAAAATGTGTAATTTTGAAACCGTCAGCAAGAACGCTTCGCCACTCCACCTCACTCGGCTTGACGTAATCCGGCCACGTCAGCATCACAGAATGCACATCATGCATCCTGCCGCAAATTGCTGCAAATCCAGATACATTTATCTCAGAACGTCGTCAGAATGGGAAGCTACGAGGCCACTGCTATTAGATTGGAGGCCATCATCCCTAACGCTATTGGGAGGCCATCGCTAGTAGGTTTGAGGCCACCGCTAGTAGTTTGGAGGCCATCGCTAGCAGGCTGAAGGCCATCGCTATTAGTTTGGAGGCCATCGCTATCTGTTTCAAGGCCATAGCCATTGGTATGGAGGCCATCGCTATTAGGTTGGAGCCCATCGCTATTGGTTTGAAGGCCTTCACAATTCTTTCCTATTAGGACAACTCC